AAAGACTTTTGGGGGGTGGTGGTGCGTATATCAAGTTTAATAAGTCTTTATATCTTAAATGTGTTTAATTTATCTTTCCAGCCATTTAGACATATTCTTCTAAAGCTCTTTCATATATAATAGCATGTTGTTTTGCATTATATTTGAGTGAAACGTAGAGGGTGTTAAATCAGACAAGCTTACACAGGTGATACAGATACATGTTGTGTATGCCACATGGTTTATTATTTATTTTAGATTAAATAATGTATTTCATATTTATGTTTGCTAATTTCCTATGTAGCGATAATAGTCACTAATTATGATTTCATAGAGTTCAAGGACTATTTTCTAGCTTTTGTTTATTCCGTAATACTAAATCATAGTGCTTCAGTATACAATAACACTCAGTCTAACCTCTGCAAGTACCTTGGAAAAAATTTCTACATTTTAATAGCGTGAAAAATCACTATACGAAAAAGAACACGGTTCTCAAGAATGTAATATAACACAGCTTTATCACGCTTCCCATATGCGTAATCTCACCAATAACATAGAAGATTATATGCTATACCGTAGCTGTATTATATATGTCTATGAAAGGAGAATAAGCCATATATAAAGTTGTAAAGAATTGAAGAAATAAAAATCAATGTTACCATGGAAAAGTTCCTCAAAAAAGGCTAAAATAAATACTTTTAAATTTCTGGTTACCTTCACTCATTGCCTTTTAATTATTTTTAGTCTTGATTTTCAATTTTTTGTGATAAAAGTTAAATTTTCTTCTCAAAATTTTAGTTACACATGGATATTCCAGTTAAATGGACTGGGACAGATGGTATATCAATGCATGAATCAAAAGTATCTCCTATAACAATCAAGCTAATAGCTAGAAAATCAAAAAAAAATACATAGAGATTCAACAAATGAGATTCGAGGGGTAAATATTATGGTCCTATATCTTGTCTTCTAGCCAGTTTTTTACCTGATATTATACTCTTCTATCTGTTGAAAGTTAAAATTGTACCTCCACTTTACTATTGAACCTACAAAATATATTAGTTTCCGATATTAGAATATAATCAATAAAAATTCTGGACTGGATATATTATGGATTGTGCGAGTTCCAATAAAATACTATCTCTAATATTAAGATGGAAATCTTAGACACATGATTGTTTATCAATATATCATAATTGTAGGAATGAAAGTTGAACTGCCGTTTATAGATGGTATAATGTTCTCATGTAGATTATACTGATATTGATACCCATCTAACTAATACCTCTTGTAAAGCGAGCAATTCAATGAAGGGAAGGTTAGTCACATAAATCGTAACCACGAATATCAATGTTCCTTATTAAGTTATCCTTAGCAATAGTTTAAATGTCCTTCCTTCTCCGATCTTCCTCCTCCCCCTATGCACCCCCTTCCTTCCACAGGCCACAAGAGAGGCAGATAAATGAGTTTGATCTGGGTGTTCTGCTAGAGAAAGTAAGGGAACAAGGCCTTGTATGGTGGATGGGACACTTTTATAATGTTGGGCCATACAGACAAGATCTCTCCAAACTTTGTTCAAAAAATAATAAACTAAATACCATATATGAAGTACTATCACTGTTACAGACCAAAATATTCACTCGCTCTTTTCCTCTTTGTATTTTTTGTCTTTTCTTTTATTGCTTATATAATGAGACTGAGGAGATCTCATTCTAACTACCATAGATATATGCCCACGGTTTGGCCATAGTATAACATTCGTTATCATGCGATGCTCAATGTGCCAAAATTATTTCAGCCCAGCTCACTCTGGAGCCAAGCCTCTCAGCGCCTGGCTCAGCGACTTCACCTACGCTTGCGTCAGCCTCCCAGATTTACACTGGGACTACAGCGCATGCTACTCACACAAATAGAGTCCAGGCTAATTATCGCTAATCTCATCAATGTATACATAATATTTATTCACAATCGTCCTATTATTACATTTAGTATATCAATCATTAACATTAGCAACAATCTTTATCATAGTGAATTATACTGTGATTTTTTTTTGTTTTTTTAAGTGTGTTAACGACCACTCATCTCCTCTTTTATTTGTTGTTATAGCAGTTGAAACGAACTTAGAGTTTTCTTGTCTGTCTTTGAGCAATCCGCCCGCCTCAGCCTCCCAAGAGCTAGGATTACAGGCGTGAGCCACCGTGCCCGGCTTCATAGTAACTTTTTTATGGAAGTACCAAAAGAGTCCTTAAAAGTGAATAGCTATTCTAATAATTCAATAATATTCTCACATTTCTCATAAGTAATATCTGTTATAATCAATAATAAAAAGCAGTCTTATACAAAATGAATATTTCTCAAGTTAAAATAGTCTTTCTTTACCCTAACTGTGACTACACAGGGTGCTGGAAACTGAACTAGGATGAATAGATATTAATTTTTTATATCATTATAGTGCTATGGAACAAATTTACCAAAAAATACCAAAACACTCTTTTTCTTTAATATTCAAACACTAGCGAATACCTGAAAATGTTATGTGATCAATATAAGCCAAATTCAATAAGTTCTCAGACCAACTGGAACATTCCTTCATATTGTTTAAGCATCCAAACTGTATTCTCCTCGAATTGTTATTATCACGCTGTGATTGTTGTCCTTAAATCCCACGATCTGTGAAAGTGGAGTTGAAGGTCTTTCCCTAGAAAATACTAACTTTCTCCCCAAAATGACTATCCCTTAGCTAACCTGGCATGGTGCTGAATCTGGGGGTGGCTAGTTGTCTGTTCTCTTTCCTGCTCACCACCTTCCGCCAAACTCAACCTCAGAAATCAAAATAGGCACGGGGCAGGGGTGAATGATCACATTATCAACTGGAAAATCTTTAAGGCTATAGTTGTACAGAAGAAAGTATAGTAGATAATAGGGTATTCATGACAGTTATGGGTAGAAAATAGGAACTGAGAGATATATTTGTCTTTTCTTTTTCTTCTAGTATCAGTAGTATCCCTGATAAGACAGAAATGGCTCAGCTGAAAGAGTCTTTTCCCTTCCTGGGATACTAGTAATAGAAACATTGTTCTTTTCCTTTGACTATGAGGAACTATGACTTAGTCATCATGTAATTTTGACTGGAATGACTATGTCATAATTATTCAAGGTGAAGAAAAAAATTTCTTAATATAGAATATTCAGAAGCACTAATCTAGACTATATAAAATTAGTACCTTTAACATACTGTTCATATAAATTTCCATATAGTCTCTGGTTCAGGAGAAGCAAGGAATTGCAATTTAAAAAAACCAATAACAGCAACAGTGGTAAAAACGACACACACTGATGCAGGATTTAGACTGCTCATATTAATCTCAGGCAAATCTATCCACCTCTGCGGGCACCCAGGTAGTTAGGCAAAGCAGTTTTCTTCACCTCAAAAATGTAAGAGCTGTATCAGATAATATTTAAGGTCCCTTCCAGTTCCAAGATTGTACATTTATGAGCTCAAATTGTGAATATGCAACTAAACTGATCGAAATTAATTTTAAGAAGACACTATTCTATAGAAATCGTCATTGACACATAGCTATGGTTATAATTATTATTACAGGAAGTACTCCCTGGAATGAATACCTAAAATCGATCAGTCTTTGCAGCGTCTCCCTTCCTTTGCCTGCCCCCTGGTGGTAGTTCCAAGAAGTGAATTAACCAAAAATATAAACACGGAGGCCACATTCCAAACTGGCTTGAACCCTATTCCAATCTTCTTGGAGTCCTGCGAAATTGTTTTTCTCTCTGTGCCTGAGAAGAAGAGAAATTTAGAAGATTATGTGCTTAGGCACACCACCTATTGAAAATCATAGCAACTTAGAGTGAAAATGATATGTGCAAAGTTAACAATTAGGAACATTTAAGACGGTTCCATTTCTATCAAAGACTTTCACTTTTCAGAGGGGACAATTCTAGAAAGTAACAGAGGAGTGATACAGCAGGAACTTTGAAAAGTTTCCTGGCAAACCGCAAATGGCTCCCAGTTACGGGATTAGAAGCCTAGGAATTTTTTCTGGGGGTGTATCACACTACATTTGAAAAATTCAGGTACAGAAAGAGATTTTGTGAACAGAGGGAGAGCCTTCTTTTTAAAGGATTTGTATTTTTAAATATTTGAAGAGCGAAGACATTCTCTAAAGTGAATAATGTCCTCAATTCATCCATCATCATCATCATCATCATTATCATCATTAATATTATTATTTAAAGGTTGTAGATTCATTTCCTCAGAGCAGAGGCCAGCAAACTACTGCCTGCAGGCCAAATGTGGGCTACTGCTCTTTTTTATTCTTAGAGATGGGGTCTCACTATGTTGTCCAGAGTGCAGTGGCTGTTCACAGAAACAATCATAGCTCACCGTGGCCTTGCACTTGAACCACTGTGCCCAGCCTCCATCCATTTTTTAAGGCCCATGAACTCAATAAGCTTTCTACTTTTTTTTTTTTTTTTACATTTTATATCTTTGCCTCTCCCTAAGAAGGGTTAGAGGCATGCCCTTCCCCTCCACAATGCTCACCACATCCCTGAGAGGCCCCCCCCCAATCCCTGGGGAGCACTACCACCATTTGAGCACCATAGTGTTAATCAGTCAGGACCAATTTGACGGCAAGCACATGTGGAGCCCATTTTCCTGATCTTGTGTCCCCTCACTTTGGATAATGGGCTTAAGCTTAATCCAAGATAGTATAAATGGGGCTAGCTCACTGTCGTTTCTAGTTACTATGTTTTTTAACGGTTGGAAAAAAATCATAAGAAGAAGAGTATTTCATGATTCATGAGCATTGTATGGAATTCAAATATCGGTGTGTGTGATCTTTTTTTGGAAGACAGCCATGCTCATTCATTACCATTTTGTCTATTGTGGTTCTGTGCTAAGGAGGCAGAATTGAGCAGTTGTGCTTCGTGAGTCAGTTCACATCGTGGAAGCAGGAGAGAAACAAACATTGACTTCTAAAATTCTTATCTTTTGCATACAGATATACCTGGAAAAATACAAATTCAAGAATGCAAAAACTTCAGATTTTTGGGAAGCACTGGAACAGGTAAAGAAGAGTATATCCCCAAATATTTCTTTGTCAGACTTACAAATGATTTCCCAATCCTTTTTTTTTGTCTGACTATTCTATCCTTTCATTTCCCCTTATTTGTTAATTAATCAATCTCCATTTTTTTTTTCAATGTTAGGCAAGTAATCTACCAGTGCGAGAAGTCATGGACACCTGGACCAGACAGATGGGTTATCCAGTGCTCGACGTGAAAGACACTGGGAACATTGTACAGAAACGCTTTCTGTTGGACTCAAGAGCCGATCCTTCCCAGCCACCTTCAGCTCTTGGGTAAGGCTCTATAACAAATTGCAAAAGAAAAGAAGAAATTTGGCAAAAATACTGGTCATTTGCTTAGATCTTGCTCTTGAGTACATGATCAGTGGGTACAAAGGCACAGTTCTCTTGGGAGAACAAAGGGATTCAAGCCATCAAAAAGACATTTAAGAACTCTTTTAAGAGACATTTAAGCCTGAAATGTTAAGTACATATTCTATGAACATACCAAGTTAACTCCCCCTACCTCCACTCTATAAGGAAATACTAAGTAGCTAGAGAGAACAACTGGAAGCTCCTGAAACATGTTTACCTGGTGATTTTTCTTTTGCAGCAAACCGGTTCTCATGATTCCAAACAGGAGATATTTACAGGAGACTGGGAGAAGCTTTGGGGGATGGTGGTGCTGCTATAATTTTGACATAATTTCTAAAATGTGTTATTTCCTTCACAGATTGTCTTCTAAATTCTAAAAATGTCATGTGTTCCTTGAGTGAAACACGTTAGGGTGTATGCAACTTTGTGTGTGAATGCCCAATATTATAACATAATCTGTCATATTTCTGCAATTTGTGCAATAGCCTTATTCCAAAGCCTCAAGGAATTTTATTGAAATAATAGTCTTCATCCTCAGCTAACCTCTGGAGACAAATTTCTACATTTTATAGATGAAATTGAAAGCAGTTACACAGCCTATCTTCGTCACCAAAGAGTGTTGCAGTAACTGTATTAACTGTATATTATATACTGGATAATCATGTATAAGGAAAATTGGCTTTCCTATTGCCTTTTAATTATTTTTACTCTTGAAATTTTCACTTCTTGGCGATAAAAGTTAAATTTTTCTTTCTCAAAAATTTTAGTTACACATGGAATATTCCAGTTAAATGGACTGAAGATGGTATATCAAGTATTACACTCTACAATAGGTCAGAAAAAGGAGGTAAATATTATCAGTTGATTTATTTCTTCTTTGAATGAATGTACCACATTAAACTAATATAAGTGTAAAGAAGCAACAATAAAGCTGGAACTTATACGAATTTCAGCGAAATAATGATTCCCAAATCGTTATCTACAATGAGAACTTTTCTGCCTTAAGATATTCTTCTCAGTGATTTACTATGATCCATCTAATAATAAACAGCAGATCCAAAGGGGAAGGGTCACATAAATCAACCACTGGAAGATCAATGTATAAATTTTCCTTCTCCATTTCCCTCCCTCCCTTCACCCCTTCACCCCGCTCTCCCTTTCTTCCTTTCTTCCTTCATTCCTCCTTTTTTTTTTTTTTTTTTGAGACAGAGTCTTACTCTGTTGCCCGGGCTAGGGTGCCATGGCATCAGCCCAGCTCACAGCAACCTCAAACTCCTGGGCTCAAGCAATCCTCCTGCTTCAGCCTCCCGAGTAGCTGGGACTACAGGCATGCACCACCATGCCCGGCTAATTATATATAATACTATATATATATATTATATATAATTTTTTTTTTTTTTTTTAGTTGTTCAGCTAATTTCTTTCTATTTGTTTAGTAGAGACAGAGTCTTGCTCTTGCTCAGGCTGGTCTCGAACTCCTGAGCTCAAACAATCCATCTGCCTTGGCCTCCCAGAGTGCTAACCTCCTTTCTTTTTGATTTTTCTTTTTATCAGATAAATAAGCCATTGCAATTTCTTAAACTGTTAAGTGAAAAATCTAGTTTTAAAATTTCTCTTATTAAATGAGACCAATCATTTTTGAAATGTATTTCTGTGTTCTATCTCCATTGTAAATTAAATGTTTTACTTGAAAGATTTTAGAGTTCTATAAAAACAAGGAGACCTTATCACATAGACCTCCAAATCACTGAACAAATAATAAATAAGGCAGGTTTTAGCAGCAATCCAGAAGAATCCTGCGTTTGTACTTTTACCATTGCACTTATTCAAAACCATTTCTTAGCTAAGACAAACTAGACTCTTCACCCCAATCCCTGAGGACTCAGTCTCAGAATAGCATCTCGTATGGACTTAACTACCGCTTGTGTTTCCTGAGGAAAAAGTAGATCACCATCGTTCATCTACATAGGCTTAATTCTTCTACAAATGTTCTAAAGTATTAATTAGTTACGATTTCTCCAAAGCCTCAAGGAAGTAAATTTTTACCCTGTTTCCAGTAGATTGCTTTTTAAAAAACAGCTTTCTTGACATATAATTCATATACCATGAAATTCACCCATGTAAAGTGTATGATCCAATGGTTTTAAGTATATTCACAGATTTGTTAATAATTGACCACAGTCAATTTTAGAGTTTTTTCATCATTTCAAAATAAATGCTAGCTCTCACTTCTCCACCCTGCCTCATGCAGCCCTAAGCAACCGCCAGTCTATGTTCTGCCTCTATACGTTTACCTGTTCTGAACATTTCATGTAAATGAAATTATATATGTAGTATTTTGTGACTGTCTTTTCAATTAGCATATGTTTCAAGGTTTGTCCATATTGTAGCATGTATCAATACTTCATTCCTTTTTATTGCTAAATTCTACTCCATTATGTGAATCTATCACCTTTTCTTTACCCATTTATCAGTTGAAGGATATTTAGATAATTTCCATCTTTTGTTATGAATAATGCTGCTGTAAACATTTGTGTACAAGTTTTTCTGTGGATCCAGTAGAATTTTTCTACCTTTTGGGTGTTTTGTTCATTTTGTTTTACTTTTTTTTTTGAGACAGAGTCTTGCTTTGTTGCCCAGGCTAGAGTGAAGCTGTGGCATCAGCCTTGCTCACAGCAACCTCAAACTCCTGGGCTCAAGCAATACTCCTGCCTCAGCCTCCCAAGTAGCTGGGACTACAGGCATGTGCCACCATGCCCGGCAATTTTTTCATATATATTAGTTGGCCAATTAATTTCTTTCTATTTATAGTAGAGACGGGGTCTCGCTCTTGCTCAGGCTGGTTTCAAACTTCTGACCTCGAGCAATCTGCCCGCCTCAGCCTCCCAGAGTGCTAGGATTACAGGCGTGAGCCACCGCACCTGGCCCATTTTATTTTACTTTTATACTTTTTAAACCCTTCTGTGATTTTTACTTTTACTATAAATACTATCAGCTTTGCTATTATGGAGTAAAGACATCTTTATTACAACAAAATTTTCTCTTGCTCATTTATGCTAATAATATTTTTAACACTATGGTCAAAAATTCTAAATTTTTCCAGAATTCCCAGATCAATGCCATTTTTTCTTAGCATTTTTATATATGTTTATGTTGTATTTGAGTACCAAGCTCTGTCTTTTGTGGTCTGTCTTCTGACCATTTTCATACTCATAAGAACATTTGCCAAAGGAAAATCAGAAGACCAAAAAAAAATACATTTTTAAAAATGTGTAATAGCACTGATAAAAGGCATAATAGGAAAGTTAGGATTCCATTGGGAGGTTTTCAGCAGATTTGGTTTAACTATTGCTACATATTTTCCCTATTGGTCACCATAGGTAGTTGAGGGTTAGAAAAATGTCTCAACAACTGCTTAATTTGCTGTTTACAAATTTGAAAGCATGAATAATTCATCTACTCTAACCCAATCTACCCAGCATTTTCATGGAATGAGGTTTCCGTACAAGTGAATTTTTGAAATAATTGAAGCTTAATAGAGTGCTTCGTAAAATAAATTTCAAGAGTTCACAATAAATATTGTTCTAATATGTGTTATATACTTCTTAGATAAAAGATTTGGAATAACAAATTTAATCCTTAATTATGTAATTAATTCTTTCAAGCAAGGATTGCTTACATACCAGATACAGAGGTAGGCATGGAGATAGTTCTGGGAAGGAAAAAAGCATGACCCTACCCCTAGTGTAGATGGTCTAGGGACGGGTCAGCAGGCAGGTGTAACCCCGTGTGCTAGGTGCGGGTTTGGTAGTACAGATGGCCGAGGCTGCTCACAGAAGCACCAGCCAGATTTGGGAGTTCAGGAAAGGTTACCAGAAGAAGAACATCTCGGCAGAGATTTCAGAGGCTAAAGGTAGAGTGTAAATGCATGGTAAGGTTGACCTAGCTTAGGAGGGTCACGTGCTCTGGATGGAGCGTGCACGTGTGAAATGAGCCCGCAGGGAGCTCCCATGGTCCTCTCTCCCGCTACCATTACATGTGACACACGCTTGCTCTGTTGACTTATCCATGTCGCCCTCCCACAGAGTATTCCTGGAGGAAATGGAGTGTGTTGATTGTTGTTCTGTGTCTCCAGAAGGTGCACCTAACGGTTGTTTATGGATTGAATGAATGAGTGAGTGAGTGAGTGAGTACACTGATGAGAAGGCTTTGATGTTCACAGTGCTGTGATAACAAACCTACCTTTATCTGAAACTTCAGATTCATGGCCAGTCACTTAGCCGGGAGCAAACTAGACATCTCTTCCTACTTCAAAGTGGCTGCTCCATTTTTAGGCTATGCAACAAGTTCCTGTTTCCTGTCTGAGGACATCTTCAGCTCTCAGCTCAGAGCACAGATGACGAACGTGTCCTGAGTGTGCTGAATGGGCAGCCAGCTCATGTTGCCAATCCTCCCTCCCTCCCCTTGTTTCTTTGATGACTCCATCAGTTAGCAATTCCCAGGCAACAGTGGGACTTCCCCCAAGGTCTTTTATTTACATCTGTATTGTGCATAACATCTTAAGCATTAAAACAAAAAATTAAATGTGTAATTTTTAACAAAAGAAGAGGACCTTTCCCACCAAACCTTTCCTGGCTATTTTAACCTACTCCAAGTAATCTCTCCTCTCACCAACTATAGTATGTTTTATGCTGTCAGTTTCATCAGTCATTATTCCTAGTATTATTACTTTATATTTTAAACAAAATCATTGTTATTTAAGCTTCATATGTTTCATTCTTTTGGTATCTCAGGCTATCACAAGCTGTCTACTTGTCTAACATTATTTACATATGATAGTAACATTAAAGAACTGTCACGTGTACTGTTACTGAAATCTATTGGGTTGGAATTATTAAAAATAGCCTCTAGATGAAATTTTGCAACAGTAATTATCAGTTTTCTTTATAATTTAGGCATATAATCAAAGAAAACAACAGGAATTTTCTAGAAAGAGCCCCTACCTAGAGATAATTTATTCAATACTGTTATTCATAGAACCAGTAGGAAACAGAACAAAACAATTTAGAAGTTGAGTGATAAAGTATTATGTGGTCACTAAACTTACATTTCCAAATATATAAAATGAAATTGCAAGGTGTTTACAATATAATTTCAAGTGAGCAAAGACTACTAATCATAAAAAGAGTAGGGTCCAATTTGGTGTGTAACATATAGATGATATATACATGCACACACACAGAAGATAAAAAGATGTTAATTACAGTGGGCAATTTTTATATTTTTCTTTATACTTTTTTGTATTTTCCAACTGCCTCCTAAAGAATATATACTATTGTTATAATTAGAAGAAAAACTCCTACTTCTATGTGCCACTGGGAATAGGCATCAGTACTTTAGTTCTACTCACTTCATTACGTAACTAAACAACCCAACAGCGTTTTGCTGTTGACAACTGTTCTGAAAGTAGCATGAACTTGGAAAGTCCTTAACTACTGACTCGCTGGATCTCAGCTTCCTCATCTATAAAGTGAGAGAAATCACAGTAACTCTAGATAGGCTTAACTAGCGACATATAAAGCACACTAAAAGACAGTAGTATTTAGATGGATTGCCAGGAACTTCTCGATGTTATTTATATTTGCTTTGCTATTTATAGAACTGGCAGCATATCCCTTTTCATAATAACGGGGATAGCTACCATCTGCTGGATGCATAACTATGTGACCAACACTTTACTTATTTTATCTTATTTAATCTTCACAATAGCCCAGCAAGGGATTTTTATCCCTATTTCCCTTGCGGTGAACTGGGACATAGAGGGGTCAAGTGATTTGGCCAAGGTCACAGAGCTAGTAAGTCACAGAGCAATGATTTTATTCTAGGTCTTCAGACTCCCAAGTTCATGCTTTTTCTCCTGTAACATATGGCTTTACACTTAGCAAGCGACTCTCCTCCTGATATATCCAAAGTGTACGGTTGCCAAAAGATTAGCTTCCTTTCAACAGCTAGTCCATGGGAGAATGACAAAGAAAGATAAATACTACATGAGTTAGGTAAGGGTTTATAATTTGTCAAGTACTTACTCTGAAAGTTCCTAAAGAAACTTATTGTCTTGTCGAAGAGCTTATTCATGTATTATGAAAAACTACTGTGTCCTGGATACCTTCCAGAGCTTGCAAACACTTCCAAAATTTAAATCATCTTTCCTCCCAAGCTGACTCACCTTCCTCTATTCTCCAATGGCAGCCCCATAATTCATCCAATCATGCAATCCATTTCCCCCTTCTCTAACTGTCCACATCACTCCAGAAAAAGGGTTCTGTTGATTTTACTTGTGATATGTCTCGTGAGCACATCACCTCCTTTCAATTTCCATATTCTCCACGAGTGTAAGCTCTCATCCTCTCTTGCCCCAGGTTATTACAGTGGACTCTAAATTCTTGCCTCTAGAATCTCCTCCAAAATGTTTCTCATGCCACTATCAAAATTATCTGTTCATACTCAGGTATGTTACTTTCCCACTTAAAAATCTTCCCTGTTTTCCTACCTCTCAGATGAGTTCCTTAAATGGTATTAATATCTGGCTGATCTTTATTTCCAGCCTCATCTGCTATTTTCAGATTCACACCCGATATCATCACTACATTAAACTATTTCAAATTCCTCAAATATACTAAGTGTCCCTACAGCATTATTTAAATTGTGTGTTGACCATGTAAACGAAAGAGTATATGAACTGAAAAGTATAGGAGTAATGCTAACAAACAGTAGTCATGTCAGAGCATAGATATTATTTTAAGTGCATATTTTTTTTTTACCTAAAACATAAGTCTCTGTTCCTTCAATGTTGGGCTTCTAAAATCTATATGCTAGAGCCCTATGTAAATATTGAATGCTACTTTAGAAAGACAGTTAATTTGGTACATGCATTGATGAAAAAGCATTGATGTAAACAATTGAAATAAAGAAGTAGGAGACTTTACAAAGATAAATAAAATTGAAAGAGCAAGTATGAAATGGATTACAAAGTCAAGAATGTTGCATTTGGATTTCAATTCTATTGCAACACATGTTAAAAGTGTTACAGATCCTCAGTTTATTATTCTGCTTAGCAATGGTCATTTTCATCAACTTTAATGTTGATTTTAATAAACAAAGTATTCTTTCAAGTGTTTATATTTTTATCCCCTCCCCAGGCTGCCCCAGTGAATATACTTTGTGTAATTAATCCATTATGATTAGGAATATATGGACTACCCCTGAAGGCATGGACGTCTCTGTCTGTTTTCTTTTGTTAAAGAATTGACCAGCACAAAATTATTTCACCCATTTGGCAAGCTTCTGCTAGTAAGAAGTACAAGTCACTAATTACAGGACACTTATTTATATTACTTATTTCTTTCTTAGCTCACTCACTCCAGTGACTTTCTAAAGTTAGGCAACTAAGTAGGAATTAGGCTTTGGGGCTTTGGATCCAAATCAGACTTGACTCCTTGAGTTACTATTTCTTTTCTTTTCTTGTCTTTTTGCCCTCTGGGTCTAATTTCTCTGTGTTTATAGTACATGCAAACATGTTTCTCATTAGTGTTTATTTACTACCACAGGAATCACTTTGAACTCTTCTAATCCTAGTGGAAATGCTTTTCTCAAAATAAACCCAGATCATATTGGGTTTTATCGTGTAAATTATGAAGAACTAATTTGGAACCAGATAGCCAAAAATCTTTCCTTGAACCACAAGGTAAGAGATAGCAATGATTGGGAATTGTTTTATTTTCGTTCTAAGAACAGCATCTTCATGATATTAATTTTTTTCAACATGCTGTGCTTTAAGATTCATGTTTCTTACCTCTCCTCCTTCTTCTCAGGACTTTTCTTCTGCTGATCGTGCAAGTCTTATTGATGATGCTTTTGCCTTGGCGAGGTGAGTTTTGGAATGAGACTAGATTACTTAAAATATTCTGGGTTTTGTCATAAATCTTTTTTTTAAAATGAATTAAAACATTAAAGTATTAATCAATTTTAGCTTAAAATATCCAAAGCTACTATTTAAAACATTATTGTTTTTAACTCTCTCTTTAGAAGTTCCTATGAGCCTCATAGTCAAAATACTGATATTGAACCTTCGTGTACACACAAAAACTCACCTACCCTATTAATTTTGAGTATGGTTTGTCTACATCAGAGTCTTTGAGCTAATTAGGAGTGACATTTACAAATGCTCAAAAGTGAACCTTCCTAATTTGATTTAATAAAAAGACAAACAATGTTTCATTAATTCAGTTCTCTGAGCCCAAGCCCACTGTAAGGTTTTGTGGCCAGAATTGTCAAATCTTGCTCAGGTCATTGGGGTAAGAAGAATGAGCTGTGGTGCTCTAGGGCTGATCATAATGAAGGCACCCTTTAGGAAATTTGACTTTTCCCCTCATAGCCTGATGTTAACTTGCGCTTAGAAAAAAGATAATCAGCATAGACTGGGGGAACTGAGGAGTAGTTCCCATGGTACCTCTACATTTTTTTGTCATGTAGTCTAACACCGGTAATTCCACAAGCATTTATTGAGTTTCTGGTACTTTTCAGGAACTGGGAACACAGCCGATTTGATTTCTCTGACTTTGTCGTGGCTTCATCCTAGATGTGAGCAATATTCTGAGAGAGAGATGCCACTTCCTTAGGTAGCCTCCTATGACCCTTTGTGTGGGTGTCCCTCTTATGGGCCCTATATTTCCCCACAATATTATATTGCCCTTGTTTATTAATTGTCCATTTGACTCATCAAACTGTAGGTTCCATGAGAGTGGGTACCGAAACCCATCTGTGACCCTGTGTGGCCAGGATGCTCAATAAATACTGGCTGAATAGGTGGCTCGAAGAGTAGTATGACAGTACTAAAGGCAGGGGTACTATTTGACGTACACTTCCCAGAGAGCATATTGGTAGTCAGAAAACCTTCTTGACATTTTTAAAGGATGGAATTATAGGGTTAAAAAACAGGCTTTTGAGTCTGTTTCAAATCCTAGTTCCATATAACTTTGAGTGAATCTCTTAACTTCTCTCTGCCTCAATTTCCTTATTATTAAAATGGAGTTGACCTTATAAGATTTTGGTGAGGACTAAATGAGATCATGGACAGATAGCACTGAAAAGATTATCTGGTGTGTACAGAGTGCTCAATAAATTATATTACTTGACCAAAATGCATTGACCATTGATTAGTAGCAGCAAAAGATGCAATTAGAGAAGCTCTTCTGAATTTGTAATCCAGATTCCCTTTGTAGGTAACGGACAATAGGTTAGGATGCTTTTTAGTGAATCTCCAAGTTTAATCTCCTGGATATGTAATTGATTAGTTATTTTCACTATATTATAGTATACCATTCACTCACATAATGAATATGTATTGAGGATCTAGTATTTGCCAGGTAGACCCTGGGGAATTAAATGATGAAAGAAGATGATCAAGAAGCAGTTTAAAACATAATAGAACTACTTAGAATTTTTTCCTGGAAAACTCTCCTGTGAATCCACCGTACCTTTTCCAAAGCTCAGCTGCTTGGCTGTTAGACATTACAAAGCACTGTAATATCTGTATAGTTCACTTCCCATCACAGCACAATGCAGATGGTTCATTTTGCCCTACGATGACATGAAAGCCTCTTGAACCGCACTCGGTGAGGAGCCGTGTGTAAAGCAAATAGCTCATACTATTGAAAGACTTTCTCACTTTTGCTCAGCTCCTCGGCCATAACCCCATAAAATTTTGAAAAGCTGTGGAAAAGAAGAAAGTGAAACAAATTCGAAAGCCAAAACAAATGTAGAATCCCACAGCAACAGAGCTGGAAAATACCCGAGCCGTCACAGGCCAGATTTCTGTTTGCAGCGCATCCAGAAAACTGCAATCAGAGAGAAACAGAGTCTGCCAAAGCCGGGTAGAGCTGAGAGGACGGCTTAAAAGGCCACCTATGCTAAGACCACTATGAAACTTTAGGGAGCAAAAAAAGCAGAAATGTGCAGTTAAATAGGTAAGTGCCTGTGGCAGGATTAGTGTTTACACAAGCCTACTGAGGCATTCAGAAGGAATGTTTTTATTATGTTCAATAATTAGGACTAAAAGGGTGCACCTAAAAATAAACATATCCTTGTTCCCTGTCCCTTTAAACTTGCTCTGAAGAGCCAGTCCTCTTGCTGCCTGCTGGGGAGTTACTCTTTGGTCAAGGTGAGGAGTAGAGATTCGCCCCATCTCTTCCAGTTCCCCAAGCGCTCTCAGCTCCATAAGATTCTCAGTCAAGTGAAACCATCAGAGCTGTCTACTTCATCTAAAGCTTCTCCCTGCCCCAAGCTCAGGCCAGCCTCGGGCCGGCCACCCGCAGCGGGAATAGGCGCTTGATGTCTCCCAGTTTCCCTGCTGGAAACTTCTTCTCCCCGCTCGCCCCACTGCCTCCGGTTTCTCCAAAGTTAAGGCAAGGAGAGCAAGGCGGGAGAGCAGGAGAGAGGAAGACAGGTTCCGACGTGCTGTCTGTCTACTTTTGGTCCCTTCTGAATTCTGCAGACGGTCGATGGCGACCCTTGTCCTTGCGCGGTGTTTCCCGGCGTTTTGGCCACCCGTGCCCGTGCCATCGCCAAGGGTCTTCCTCTTGCAGCTCCCTTCAGGCGGGCGAGGGGAAACCTCTGACCCCCTGTGGTCCACAGGAAGTGTTCACGCATCCTGTGTCCCTGCCATGTTTGGAGGGACAGGCCACCGCCACCCCCCGCTCCTCGGTCTGAGGCCGGAGCACCAGCCAAGCACTCTCACCCTTGAGATCCCTCAGGGTGTCAGACACACCAGGCCACCGTACCCCAAGCCCCAGGACATGCAGGGCAGTCTCTTTGAGAGGTCCCAGCAAAACCCTTTCCTTAGGCTTCATCCGTTGGCAAAGCATCTCGTGCCCCTCGTCCTGGGGGCAGGAGCGCTCTCCCCGACCCTCTGCCAGCCCGTCTCTCTCCTCCTTGGCCTCGCTAATCTCTGTCATAGCCCGTTGGTGGCTCATCACCTACGGATCACAAAGACCTGTTCTTGACCGAGTGAGTCCTGGTTTGGCGGTCCGGCATCTTCCTCTGGAGTGTGGGCTAAGGATCCTGGTCTTGGGGACTCGCCGAAGCTGAGACAGACAGAATCATTTTTTCCCCACCTTTTATAATAGTTTTGTTGTTTTCCCTTCACGATAGCTGGCACTGTGCTCTGCAGCCAGGAGAGGGGGGCGGCAGCACCGGGGAGGCAGGGCGCACTGGCTGGCACGCCTGCGGGGGGGCGGGAGTCGCCAGGCCAGGGAAGAATGGCGAAGAGGACCGCCTAAAAGACCACCTAAGCTAATGATCCAAGCAGAATCTCAGCCAAGTGCCCAGGACCTGTGGCTCCAAGGATAGCCGAGGTAAGGGCCGGGCTAGCGCCAAAGGACCACGGCTGAACACCAGCCACGCCCTCGGGGTACACGGGTCAGAACATTCTTATAAGTGTTTGTAGAGGTCACCAGGGGACAACACAGACCCTGCAACAACTTTTCCCATCTGCTCATGTACTGCCTTTAAAGGAAGGGATGAGATGGGGAATGGGAAAATAATCCAAAGGAGATTAAGTCAGAAATTTTGATTTATTTGGCAAATCAAGGGCAAGAAGCTAGATGGCTTGGGAACTTTTTTATGCTCCTCACACCACCTGGAGGTCTTGCTGAGGAACCCAAGCACATGGGCTCAGCTTCATCCATTTTTACTGTCCCTGTCAAAGAGCCATGTTTGATAAGATTCTATACTTGGACTTCTCTAAGAACGACTGTAGGCCGGGCGCGGTGGCTCATGCCTGTGATCCTAGCACTCTGGGAAGCTGAGACGGGTGATCATTTGAGCTCAGGAGTTCGAGACCAGCCTGAGCAAGAGTGAGACCCCGTCTCTACTAAAAATAGAAAGAAAATTAGCTGGACAACTAAAAATATATATAGAAAAAATTAGCCAGGTATGGCGATGCATGCCTGTAGACCCAGCTACTCGGGAGACTGAGGCAGAAGGATCGCTTGAGCCCAGGAGTTTGAGGTTGCTGTGAGCTAGGCTGACGCCACGGCACTCTAGTCCAGGCAACAGAGTGAGACTCTGTCTCAAAAAAAAGAAGAACTGTGCAGTCTTTCCACATTATGCCCAGGAAAACAAAACTCAGACATTCTGCTACAAGAGTCCCCAACCTTCCTGGGTGCCTTAGCCCATGATAGAGGAGCAAGAATGCCCTCAGATGACCTCTGTGTCCTCTTCTCCATTGCCTTTGGTGGGAACTTTATGTTATAGCTTCCATCCTCTCTACATTCTAGATGATAGTAAAATTCTACAGTTTAAGTACCCCAGCGTGGGCTCTTACTATATAAATGGAAGATGTTTGAACAAAGAAATTTCTCAACCAAGTCTGGCCTTCAGACCTGCTGTTTGTCTATGGACTTACCAAATGGAGTTTGAGACCCAAAGTTGAGTAAGAATGCCGTCTTGGGTTGGGTTCCCTAGAAGCAGGGACTGAAATGGAGGTTCCCATACCAGTGGTTTTTTGAGCGAGTACTCTCATGAGGTAGGTAGTGAGAGAAGCGGGACAGGGCAGGGGGAAATAGCTGAGCAAACTGTGGCCTCAGCTGGAGTGTAGCTTTGCCAGATTCCACTAGGAAGCAGGAATGGTACCAGAGAATGGGTCCAACGTGAGGGAGGCTGGCTGGCCTTGTGTATTCCAGAATCAGACAATCCGTGTGTGTGTGTGTGTGTGTGTGTGTGTGTGTGTGTGTGTGTGTGTAGGGGTGGTTGCATCACCTCACAGTCAAGATGGATGTTTTTGGCCAAGGGTTATTCCCTGGAGAACACAGCAGCCAGCACAGCACTAGAAGGGGGCCTGGCAAGGGGACTGCAGATGTCTTTGTTCTAAAAACCAGTTCTCATCCTGTGGTCCCCACCAGCGTATCAGCGTTGCCTAGGAATTCGTGGGAAACACACATTCTTGGGACCTACCCAAGACCTCCGGAATCAGAAACTCTGGGAGTAGGGCTCACCAGTATGTATTTAACAACCCTTCCAGGTGTTGCTCATCTATGCTCAAATTTGAGAATTCTGGTTCTAAATGATCCTGTTCTTCCTCTGATGTATCAGATACAGCTGATCCAGTGGGTAGGATCTTCGGAGTTACATGGTTTGTGGGGAATGAAAAGTGTATCAGCTTAATTCTCAAAATATTCTCTCTCTAACACCAAGCAGCAACAACTCACTCCAGGCCAGTTCTTGTGACTGTGCAACTCAGACCTAAAGAAAACAAGTGATGTCAAAGGAGAACTACTGCATAGCTATCAAGTGCACTGGAGAAAATTAGGCATTAGAATAGGATATTGATTTTTCAAGCATTTGAATATATAGCATTTAGTCAGGACCTTTGGATCATTGGATTCTCTCCTTACTTCTACTTATGCTGTCCAATTAGCCAATTTTTCTGGCCTTTGCAACAAAAGCCCATTCCTCCCAGTCCTTTCACCTACTAAAAGGGTGCAGCCCACTTGGTTTCTTGCCAAAGAATCTGTTAGTCGTCTTCTACTTTCAGTAATCTTTTCATGAATTTGATCCTCAGAGTGATAACTATTCTTTATAACTTTCCTAAGAAAAGTTGACTGGACATAGTTGTTGCTCCACCCACCTGGGAAATAGAAAATCATTAAAGTTAGAAAATTCTCAAGGTAAGCTTCAGATGTCAGCACAACATTCCAAAATCTTTTAGTTAACAAATGCTCTCAACGGAACACTCTGTTTCTCAATATTATTCATACTTTTATTAAAGGCAGCTGAACGCTCCAAAATGTAAAGACTACGAATTGAGAAAACAAGAAAGGGAATCAGCTCTCTGAACTGAAAACAAACTCTGTAGTGTTTCTTGTCAGTGTAAATCATATGAAGCCAAGGCTTTTATTACTATCACTCCAATATTAGTTCATTCTTTAATCAAACTCCTAGGGAAGAAATCAAGCTATAATTACATTATTATTCATTCAAAAAATGACTCAAGCGGGGCAGAGACAACACGTGTAACCTAAACATTTATACCTCTGTAATATGCTGAAATAAAAAAAAATTTTAAAAATTAAATTGAAAAATAAAAATACCTTTAACACTATTTAATCTTAAAAAAATGACCTCAAACATAATAGCACTCAAGGCATCAGTATTCCTAAATTCAATAATTTAACAATTCTTTAAACTTCCAAAATTTAATTTGGAAAAACAGGACTCCCATCTAACAGTCTTCCAAATAAAATTTGAAGTTATAGCAGGTTCCTGAAAACATGATTTCAAAAAATTCTAAAATTCCTTTGAAAGGGGAATAAATTGGATTCTTTTATAAGAAATAAGATGTTAAAAATGAAAATATAGGTTCAATTTGAATGTTTTAAGCATTCAGTGTTCATGAATACTGTTATTCATGTTCTTTATAAGCAAACGTAAATAATTTCAAAAACTACATTTATAATGGTGCATTTATATATTATAATCAGCTTGTAAACCTGAAATGTAGAAGTTTCTATTAATATTAACTGTATAGTCAAGTGGCTTTTGTTTTATGTGAAATTTTGCTATAGTGATTTTTCAAATGTACATCTTAATGTCTGTCTTCCTCCTTACTATCGAATGTAGGAAAGCATGAATATATCATTTTGAACAAAACTTTTTGATTGATCTTCAACAATAAATGCAATTTCTTATTTGTTTAATAGTGTTCTCATTAACATGGAACACTGATTGTCATATTAGTACTTTCAGTCAAATGGAAAATAAGGTCTATGGTTTTTAACTAACTGCGTTATTTTTTGTTTTTCTTTCTCAGAGCTCAACTGCTAGATTATAGGGTGGCTCTGAACTTGACCAAGTATCTGGAAAGGGAAGAGGATCTTTTACCGTGGCAGAGAGTCATTTCGGCTATCAGCTACATCATTAGCATGTTTGAAGATGATAAAGAGCTATACCCTGTGATGGAGGTGATGTTAATGCTCTGGTATCTTATGAGAGTAAATGTTTGGCCATTAGTAGAACAGGATGCTTTCTGAGAGAAGGAGCCTCTGGGTACACAAAAGCATATCTATCTGCCGGTTGGAATCAATAGAAAGTGCAAAGACTTGACTAATCAAAGCAAAGATAGGCTATCTATTTTTTTTTTTTTCGTTGGAAGTGTATTAGTATTTGTGGTTCTGTATACCAACCACTTAAAGGTATATTTCAGTGTTAGATGGAATATAAAAATGAATATTTTATTTACAGTATACAACATTTTAAACCATAAATACTAACAAGATCCTATTTTTAGTGTATTTAGCTATGTTACAATGAATTATTCTTACCAAAATATAACATTATATTTTCTTGTTCTTACTGACGACATTTCCACATAGAGATTTTGTTATAAGATTGTCATTCTAGGCCGGGCGCGGTGGCTCACGCCTGTAATCCTAGCTCTTGGGAGGCCGAGGCGGGCGGATTGCTCAAGGTCAGGAGTTCAAGACCAGCCTGAGCAAGAGCGAGACCCCGTCTCTACTATAAATAGAAAGAAATTAATTGGCCAACTGATATATATATAAAAAATTAGCCGGGCATGGTGGCGCATGCCTGTAGTCCCAGCTACTCGGGAGGCTGAGGCAGAAGGATCACTCGAGCCCAGGAGTTTGAGGTTGCTGTGAGCTAGGCTGACGCCACGGCACTCACTCTAGCCTGGACAACAAACCGAGACTCTGTCTCAAAAAAAAAAAAAAAAGATTGTCATTCTAAATACCTTTTTTTTCTTTTTTTTTTTTGCTTCATGATTTCTATAGCACAGGACACTTGTAATTTTAAACAAATTCTGGATTCAAATCTCTAGCTCTTCCACTTACTGAATGAAAAAACCTTGAACAAATGATTTTATATTTGTGAATCTTAATTCGCTTTGTACAATAGGAACATTAGCACTTGCCTGCCTTTGGTAATGGCATAATGAGGATCAAATAATATAAAAGTCCTTTGTCAATCCTAAGGCAGTATACAAATATCAGTTATTTTTATTATTCTGTCAATACTGCAACAATCTTTTTAGTGCAGGAAGTATGTCAGATGTCTTTATATTTATGACATATGTTAACTAAGAAATGGAGGTTAAAAGAGGCTTACCCAAAGTTTTATAGAACATTACAGAAAGATCCAGGATGGTTCATATATTCAGGATTGAAGCCAAATTGCCATGTGATAAAAACTGAACACATTCCTTTCCTAAGGGCAAGCCCAAAGTTCTCTGAACTAGTAGGAAAATAGATTACAACAGGGAGCTGTAGATTATAATAGTTGAGATACTGTTGGTAAGTAGTAAATTATTACTCACTGTACACGATTCTTTTATTTCAGGAATACTTCCAAGGTCTGGTGAAGCCCATTGCAGATTCTCTGAAATGGACCGATACTGGAGACCATCTCACAAAGTTATTTTTTATCTTTTAAAAATTAATATTCATTTGACATTTGTGTGCTTTAAGACATGTTGAAAAGTGCTTAAGGTCCTGGCTTTGGGTTTATTTTTTTTGTTTTTCCTTTTAAGGTTACTCCGTGCCTCCGTGCTAGGGCTCGCATGCAAGATGGGAGACAGAGAAGCCTTGAACAACGCTTCTCAGTTATTTGAGCAGTGGCTAAGCGGGACTGTAAGGTGACTCCTTGCCTTGTTTTATTTCTAGAACACTCTGAACTGAGAAAAAAAGCAATCAAAGTCTCTGAAACACTGTTTCTTCTTCTAGTCTTCCTGTAAATCTCAGGCTTCTGGTGTATCGGTACGGGATGCAGAACTCTGGCAATGAGACTTCATGGAACTACACTCTTGAGCAATACCAAAAAACTCCATTAGCTCAAGAAAAAGAAAAACTGCTCTATGGATTAGCATCAGTGAAGAGTGTTCCTCTTTTGTCAAGGTAAACTGGGCTTTTATTTTACTTATATGAAATAAGTGTCTTTAATAGTTCATGTGCCACAGTCTCTTTAAGAGTTATTAAGGTATAGGCTGGGCGCAGTGGCTCATGCCTGTAATCCTAGCACTCTGGGAGGCCAAGCTGGGAGGATTGTTTGAGCTCAGGAGTTTGAGACCAGCCTGAGCAAGAGCAAGACCCCATCTCTACTAAAAATAGAAAGAAATTAATTGGCCAACTAAAAACATATAGAAAAAATTAGCCGGGCATGGTGGTGCATGTCTGTAGTCCCAGCTTCTCAGGAGGCTGAGGCAGGAGGATCACTTGAGCCCAAGAATTTGAGGTTGCTGTGAGCTAGGCTGATGCCACAGCACTTTAGCTCCGGCAACAGAGTGAGACTCTGCCTAAAAAAAAAAAAAAAAGAGTTATTAAGGTATAATGTCTTCCACAGAAAAATCTATTAAAAATTATTTTCCCTCTGAGAAACAAAATATCCATGTAAGATTGGCTTAAACAATAAATAAATGTAATCTCACATGAAAATATTCTGGAGGTAGATAATTTCCAGTTGTGTGCAGTGGCTCAATATTCTCACCCAGAACCCAGGCTCCGTCTCTTTCTGTTTTGCCATGTTTAACGTGCTGGATGTCTCAAGACTTCCAGAGCTCAAAATATTTTGTCTTTACACAAATATTTCCAACGAAAGAAGGACAGAATCAAAAGAGTTTCTCCTCACAAGGCTTTGTGTTTATGCTAAGAGGACAATTATCTCCATTTCCCTTCATAATCCAAAACTGGGTCACACTTGATCATTCTGGGTCACACTCCAGGTTTACTACTTGATCATTTGCTGATGAGGATGAACTTGAATTCCGTTGACTGATTTGAGCCAACTATGATTCTCTGAGCTTGGGGTAGTGGTCTACCTTACCTTGTATGGAGGATATCTAATGATACCTCAACAAAACTGGGCTCTGTCCATAGAGAGAGAGGAGTGTCTGTCACAGTATATAGGTGCACACACACAGAAATCTATTTACGTTCCATTCAGAAGGTACAAAGACTACTTGAAGTTCACCTATGAATCTTTTTCCATTCTATATCTATGCCCCAAATCAACTAGCTTCTGCCTTGCTTGATTCATTTTTTTATGTAGTTGTGGTGTCTGAGTTATTTACTTCATTAGTTTAATCAACACTTATGGCATCCTTTCTAGGTATAGGTATATAGATTATGGGAATGTGGGAATGAAAAGGAATAAAACAGGATATCTATCTTTGAGAAGCTTACAGCTTCATGGGAGAAGCAGACTTTAAATAGTAAACTACAATGCAATACCAACTTGAAAGGACTACCAGAAGCAGTGTGCTCTTACTTGGCAGAGCCAGCAATACACGTTCACTGTCTTACCCCAGGGCTATCTGTCAGTTCTCCTGTTCTCTGCCACAATAGTCCATGAAGAACTTGATCATCTTGACATCCCACAAAACATCACACTGATCCATTACTTTGATGGCACTGTGCTGATTGTATCTGATAAGAAAATCAGCAGGTACTTTAGATGCTTTAGTAAGACTCTTGTGAACTAGGGAATGGAAGGTAAACTGCACAAAAATTCAGGAGCCCACCACTTGAGTGCAGTTTCTGGAAGTTCAGTGGTCTAGAGCATATTGCAAGATTCCCACTGAGGTGAAAGGAAGTTGCTGCCACTTGCATGGCCTACCACAACAAAAGATCACTTTAGTGGGCTTAGTAAGCTCTTCTTCAATTTTGGTGGCAACATATCCCACATTTGAATGTGTCACCTCTACCATCTACAAAGTCAGTTTGGAATGGCGACCAGAGCAAAAGAAGTTTCTGCAGCAAGTCCAGGCTGTGGTAAAAGCTTCCCCAGAATTTCTTTCTCATCTGAAACATAAGATAAATGTGTTGTGTTTTCATATAAGTAGATTTACCCACACAACTGCAAGTACAAAGAAAGTGTAGATAGTCCTGGAGTAAAAGTTCAATCTTCTAGAGTTCCTTGCCTTCCTTGTGTTCCTACTGACCTTCTGTACAGGGAGACATTCACCCTTGTGGTACTGGAGAAAGAGACCTCTGGTCTTTGCTGGTTTTGCGTTAAGGTATCTGCCCATTTTGGTCCTGGACGAGAGTTTCTTGAGATTTCATTGATCACATTACGTACTGGAGCCCTGCGTGTCATGCAGAGATCAGAGCTGTGGTCCCAGGCAATTGCTTCGGTTCATGAAGTGCCTACCTACATGGTATGGCATTTCTGTCTCCCTGGCAGCCCTTCCAGCAGCCCCACCTCTTATTGCTAGGCTGAAAAACTTCTACGTCCCCTTTACGGTACCCACAAGTCAAAGGAATCAGGAAAATTACCTTAAGCCCATTAACATATTCACCTTCTTCCCCTCACCTTGCTTAGGACATACTCTCTCCCACGCCATTTAGCTGCCGAACTGTAGCCTCTTGTCTAGGGAATGGTGCAGGGAGTGGCGTTGTCCAGTTTCCCACGTGACACAGAGTTTCCTTAAAGCTTGTGTTCTCCAGTCTCCCTTAGGGTAAATTTCTATGGTCAAGTGTGTTAGGGCTCTTGGTATAGTAATAAAAATACACAAAATTTAGAAATATCTTTTCTCTTTGACAGAGGCTGACACTCAAAACTTAGTATTTTGCAATTCAAGTTGAACAGTGATCCTTTTGTTAATGTAATTGCCTCTCATCCTCCTAAAGATGTGAAGGAATGATGTCAATGGGTAGGGTGCCAAGGGGCAGCAAGACTTGGAGAATATGAAAATACATCTGATCTATCAGCAGTGGATATCTATTTTCACTAGACAGCTCACAGTGAATAAAATAAATGCTGATCTTATTTGGAAACACTTTTCAACACAATATGCACTTATAAAGTCTTAGGCTAGGAAGGCAACTCTGGGTACAGCCATGGCATAAATTTGATAAAATCTATCCATTTTGTTATTTAATTTATCTTGTACTTATTTGCATTATGCTATAATTACAACCAGCTAATCTAACCATATAGGTTTCTTAGAAGATTGTTTCTTATAGTCTAGGGAAGAACAAACAAAGTTAACTGTTATCCTGTAAAGAATAAGAGCATAAATTCTTTCTCTTAAATTAGTGGGATAATAAGTGATTAAAGTGCTCTGTTCTATGAATACTATTTTTAAAGATTAATAGTTAAAATTCTGTATTTTTGTATTCTTTTGAGTATTTCCAAAATAATTTAATTTTTTAATGTTCCTATGGTTTACATTTTACTAGTTCTCAAAATCATAGATTGTTCTTTAAAAACAGTTAAATATATTAGAAACTTTTAAATTGTCTTTCATTATTTGTCATATTTAATCAACTTTGTCAGCTGATTCCTCAAGAACTGAATTGCTGGAATGAAAATTATTTTGTATTGGAATTTAGTTAAGAGTGAACATTAAAAATTCATTTTATTTTTCTCTTTGGCTTCTCTTAGGTATTTGGATTTGCTCAAGGACACAAGCCTTATTAAAACTCAGGATGTGTTTACAGTCATCCGCTATATCTCATATAACAGCTATGGGAAACAAATGGCCTGGAATTGGATACAACTCAACTGGGACTATCTAGTCAACAGGTGGGATGTTCAGATAATAGTCTGCTTTTCTCTTTGTTTCCTTTCACCTACAGGTTCCCTCTTTTTCTCTTTGGAGCCCTTTCTCTGGCATATATGCAATACCTGAAATGGCATATTATTAGAGATAAAGGATCGTGGTATTTTCTTTCCAGGGAAGCAAGATAGTAGTTAATTTTAGGCACAGTCATTTTTCTGGAAATTATTGCTTCCAATTGATCTATAAGATTCTGAGATCTGGAGATATGACTAAATAGCATCATTTTTAGTTTTATTAAAACAAGTTAATACAATTCTGTCTGTTGTGCTGGTACCTAGCAAAATGCCATGTACATATTTAGTTCTCAATTAATAGTTGATGAAAACTAAATAAAAATTTTTGGACTAGGGTTCAAATTAGAGCCCTATATAAAATTGACCTTTTATGGGTGGTAACGTTTATCTGCCGTGACCAGGCAAGTAAATTTCAAGTGTTATGAATAGTTCTTAAAAGGGAACTATATTTCCCAGGTAATAACAGTTTCAAAATGGGAAATAGCAAGGACAAGAAAAGAGCAAAATCAACAAAAGAGATGATGCTTTTCCATATACTTCTTCTTTCTTCAGCATCATGCAGAGGAAATATTGTCAGTCTTGGTTTGGGTCTTCTAAATATAATGCTCAATTTCCATTAAAAAGGCATTTCCTTGACAGAGTATAATATAGAATACAGAATAAAAATCAAATATATCCCAAAGAAACTTTCAAACATTAATGAAAAGACCGTCACCATCTGTAATCCCCACATGAGGACACAGCCTTTGTCCTCCCCTCCTAATCTCTCCTCCCATCCCGCAGAGCTGCCTACCTGATAATGACTGCCCGAGGAAAAGGACCAGCTGCAGTGATAACTCTTGTGTCTTTCCTCTTTTCTACTCTACAATTCACCAGGGTGCCACTGTGTCCATTTACATTTCTTTTCCTTCTGAGACCCAGATTATATCTCTAGCTGTCAATCAAGATCCACTATATTGCTTCTGCTTATTTGTGATAATTTTTTGCCTTTTTCATTCTTGTGACTATTGAGTGTAACTGCTCATCCATCTCTACGAAGATTGGTTGGTGAGAGCATGCATGTGCATGTGTGTATGCATTTTCATCTGTTTATAATTATTTCAATGAAATGCTTGGTTTAGAATGAATAAATCTACCTATTAGAACACTTGTTATCTGGATGTAACAGTTCATACCATGCAAGGTAATTTCATCCATTTTGAAAGATGTATGCCTCATGACCTGTACCGTGTGTTTTATTTTAATCGAAAAGACCATAAAACTATCTGGGTGTGTGGATAAGAAACCTGCATAGGCCAGGCACGGTGGCTCACGCCTATAAACCTAGCACTCTGAGAGGGCGAGGCAGGTGGATTGCCCGAGGTCAGGAGTTCAAAACCAGCCTGAGCAAGAGCAAAGACTGTTCTCTACTTATAAATAGAAAGAATTATTGCAAACAAAAATATATAACAAAAATTAGCCAAGCATGATGGTGCATGCTGTAGAATCCATTACTCGGGAGGAAGCTGAAGCAGGAGAGATCGTTGAGCAGGGTTTGAGGTTGCTGTGAGGCTAACTGAATGCCACGGCGCTCCTAGCCGGCAACAAAGTGAGACTCTGTCTCAAAAAAAAAAAAAAAAAGAAACCTGCATAGATGAAGACAAATGCTTACTTTAAAAAAGGAAGATAAAGTAAAATAGTTGTCTATTCATTAATTAATGACCATTTATTGTTAAATAAAGTATTTCTCAAGGCCTATTTGAATTGATCTGGTGTGATTTATTTCAAATAATGCATTTTTCATTTTTAAAAATTAAAAATTGTATACTTGACAGAGTATAATATAGATCATTGTATACTTCCGAAAAATTAAGTAGAAAAATAGGTTTTTCTTATCATAAAGGTCATATATATCTGGCCTTAAAATAAATGTATTAGACCTAATAACTGAAATTTTTTAAAGAAAAATAAATTGATAAACTATTTCCAGAAGTAGTTCCAAAAGCCTTGCCTAAGGCTTTTAGTATTTTTTCCTTGAGGCAGAGTCTTCCTCTGTCACCCAGGCTAGAGTACAGTGGCATCATCATAGTTCACTGCAACCTCAAACTCCTGGGATCAAGCAATCCTCCTGCCTCAGCTTCCCAGCTAGCTGGGACTACAGGTGTGTGCCAACATACTCCACTAATTTTTTCTATTTTTAGTAGAGATGGGGTCTCGCTTTTGCTTAAAGCTCAGGATAGTCTCAAACTTCTAAGCTCAAAAGATCCTCCACCTCGGCTTCCCAGAGTGCTAGGATTATAGGTGTGAGTCTCTATGCTTGGCCACTTTTAGTATTCTTTCCCAGTCTAATGATCTAATTCTCATGAGACATTATTTCAAATGGCTCCAAACATAAAATTATATAATAAACACATGTCTAATACACAAAACACCCAATATTAATTATGTTTGGTTTTAATAAATAGAATTTCTCCATAAAAATTGCATAAGACAAACAAAAATGAGTCAAGCTATATCCAAATATTTCCAAACTCTTTAATGTTTTCCAAATTTTAGGATGAATAGTTTTACTACCTCCATTTCCAAATTATTTATTGTTACCCTAAAGTAGATAAGCTGCTTTTTAAATAAAACTTTTGTCATATGAATTTTTATGTGATTTTTATGACAACAGATGACCACAACACTAATGTCTATGCCAGTTTGAGACTTAATCACAAAGATCCAAAGATACTTTTGAAATTATTCTTTGCTTTTTTTTCTTCAACTAAACTCATAGATGAAACCTTGAACTTGAATGAGCCCCATAAGTCAATAGTATAGTGTGATTTTAGTTCATGATTATATATGAAAAATGAAGTCAGCAGGAGAGACTGAAACCATTTAAATACTACTTCATAAACAAAATAATTTAATAAGCACTTAAAAGGTTTTTGTGCATCAAAATCATTTTTTGATACCATAATAATAATTACATAAATATTAAGTTCAAACTAGACCTGCCCTACAGGAAATGCTCAAAGTGCACTATAGATGGAACAGAACAATAGATACCCACCAGTGTGAAAACATCCAAAAGTTAATGCTCACAGCTCTTACAAAGTAGTAGCATAAGAGGGAAAACAAGGCATCACTCAACATGATGAACAGAACAGTATACCACATATCAATACTAACTCTGAACATGAATAGCCGTAATGCTCCACTTAAAAGACGTAGACTGGCTGAATGGATGAAAAAATACAATCCAATTATAGGTTATCTTCAGGAAACCATCTAACTTATAAGGATTTTCACAGACTCAAGGTCAAGGGATGGAAAAATATTCCATACAAATGCAAACCAAAAGCCAGCAGGTATAGCCATTCTTATATCAGATAAAATAGACTTTAAGTCAACAATGGTAGAGGAGGACAAAGAAGGTCATTATATAATGATAAAGGGAGCAATTCAGCAAGAAGACATAAAAATCCTAAATATATGCACCTAACACAAGCACTCCCAGATTCATAAAACAAATTCTATTAAATCTAAGCAACGGAATAGTAGCATCATAATTGCTAGGGACTTCAACACTCCACTGACAGAACTGAACAGATCATTGAAGAAGAAAATCAACACAGAAACATTGGACTTAAATAGGACTCTAGAACAAATGGACCTAACAGACATTTACAGAACATTCTACCCCAAAACTATAAAATTTATATTCTTCTCATCAGTACATGGGACATTTTCCAAGATTCATCATATCTTAGGCAACAAAACAAGTGTCAGCAAATTCTGAAAAATTGAAATCAAACCATGTATCTTCTCAGACCATGCTGGAATAAAACTAGAAATCAATTCCAAGAGAAACTCTCAAATGTACACAAAGTCATAAAAATTAAACAACTGAAAGATCCTTGAGTCAATGCTGAAATTAAGAAGGAAATAAAAAGATTCATTGAACTGAATGACAAAGGGAACAAAAGCTTTCAAAAATCTATAGGAAACAAAGGCAATTCTAAGGGGAAAGTTTATAGCCTTAAATGCTTTCATCAACAGGACCAGAAAGATCACAAATTAGCAACCTAAAGTCATATCTCAAGAAGCTAGAAAAAGAAGAACCAAACCCAAAGCCAACAGAAGGAAAGAAATAACAAAACTTAGAGCATAAGTAAAGTAAATGGAAAGCAAAAAACCAATGCAAAAGGATCAATGAAACAAAAAAGTAGATGAACAAAATTGATAGACCACTAGCAAGATTAACCAGAAACAGAAGAGAAAGGACTCATGGTCAATAAGAAATGAAAAAGGAGACATTACAACTGATAACACAGAAATACAAAAAATCATCTGTGAATATTGAAAAAAACCTCTACTCACAAAAACTAGAAAACCTAGAGGAAATGGAAAATTTTCTGGAAACACACAAGCTCCCAAGCCAGAATCAGGAAGGAATAGAAATCCTGAGCAGACCAATCATCAACAATGAGATGAAGCAGTAATAAAAAACCTCCCAACAAATAAAAGCCTTGGATAAGATAGATTCACAGCCAAATTCTACCAGATCTACAAAGAAGAGCTTGTGCCTAACCTACAGAAATTTGTCCATAATATCAAGAAGGACAGATTCCTCCGTAATTCATTCTACAAAGCCAGTATCACCTTAATACTAAAGCCAGGAAAGGATACAACAAAAAAAGAAAACTACAGATCAATATCCTTTATGAACATTGATGTAAAAATCCCCAAGAAAATACTAGAAAACTGAATTCAAAAGCACATCAAAAAGATAATTCACCATGATCAAGTGGGTTTCATCCCAGAGATGCAAAATAATTCAACATATGAAACCAATAAATGTGATTTACCGTATAGAGACAAAATCGAAGACCGTATGATCATCTAAATAGATGCAGAAAAATGCATTCAATAAAATCCAGCACACTTTCATGATTAAAAACCCTCAATAAACTAGGCATAGAAGGAACATTCCTCAAAATTATAAAATCCATATATGACAAACCCGCAACCAACATCATACTGAATGGGGAAAAGTTGAAAGCATTCCCCCTAAGAACTGGCACAAGACAAGGATGCCCACTACCACCACTTCTATTTAACGTACTACTGGAAGTCCTAGCCAGAGCAGCCAGCCAACAGAAAGAAATAAAGGGCACGCAAATTGGAAAAGAGGAGGTCAAATGATCCCTGTTTGCCAATGATATGATCTTGTATATAGAAAACCCTAAAGACTCCAACAAAAGACTCCTGGAATTGATAAATTTGACAAAGTCTCAGATTACAAAATCAATGCACACAAATCAGTAGCATTTCTATATACTAATAACAGTCAAGGTAAGCATCATTCAAGGACTCAGTACCATTTGCAAAAGCTACAAAGAAAATAAAATACCTAGGCATATACTTTAAACAAGGAGGTGAAAGACCTCTACAAGGAGAACTACAAAATACCACTGAAAGAAATCACAGATGACATAAACAAATGGAAAAACATCCCATTCTCATGGATTGATAGAATCAACATTGTCAAATCGTCCATTCTGCCTAAAGTGATCTACAGATTCCATGCAATTCCCAATATAGTATGGTCATAGTGAAAACTGAATGAAAGGTACATTATGTCATAAAGGGTGTATAAATTAATAATTTAAGAGACAGATCACTTACAGGTGATCACAAGGTATCACAGGAATTTGGTGGTTGAGGTCAAGTGAAGAAAATATCATTGGAAATAAAGTCAAGAAACTAAGGAGCTGGGATGTTATATTGATCATCTGTGAGCACCTTGCTATCACCCAAGATGATGTCATGGCTTGGAGTAGAGAGACTAAGAGTCATGTGTCAAAGTGTATCATAAATGAGAGGGAGTAACCTGAAGAAACAAAAGGATTTTTTGTTTTCTTCTTTAAATTTTTTATTTTATTTTATTTTATTGAGACAGAGTCTCACTCTGTTGCCCAGGCTAAAGTGCTGTGGCATCAGCCTAGCTCACAGCAACCTCAGACTCCTGGACTCAAGCAATCCTTCTGCCTCAGCCTCCCGAGTAGCTGAGACTACAGGCATGCGCCACCATGCCCGGCTAATTTTTTCTATATATTTTTAGTTGGCCAATTAATTTCTTTGCATTTTTAGTAGAGATGGGGCCTCGCTCTTGCTCAGGCTGGTTTCTAACTCCTGACTCTGAGTGATCCTCCTGCCTCAGCCTCCCGAGTAGCTGAGACTACAGGCATGCGCCACCATGCCCGGCTAATTTTTTCTATATATTTTTAGTTGGCCAATTAATTTCTTTCTATTTATAGTAGAGACGGGGTCTCGCTCTTGCTCAGGCTGGTTTTGAACTCCTGACCTCGAGCAATCCGCCCGCCTCGGCCTCCCAGAGAGCTAGGATTCATAGATGTATTTTCTTGTACCCTTCCCCAACGTTCCAGTGGCGAGGTTTATGTATAATGTTGTGCTTGTTTCTCTTGAGCTATGATTAGTTGCAATGAGATTTTTACCTCTATTACAACCCTTTGTATTATGGTCTATGAGGAAACCTCTGATTCTTGCTCTTGAAGAGAGAAAATGCAAAAAGAATAGAATAGAATAGAATAGAATAGAATAGAATAGAATATTATCTCTAAAATTCTATCTTGGTACTTAGCTATAGGTGTCTTTGCTTAGCCAGCCTGACATAGATTATAATCCCCAAAATGCAAGTAGCTAATGAAGCCATTTGAAAGCATAATATATAGCCTATATTCAAATTTCTGGACCAACAGGAAGATGCGTAGAGTATTCGTTAGGATAACGGTGCCGGAGCTGTCCTGCTGGAACAGAAACAGAGGTGCAGCAGCAGCAGTAGCAAGCACACGTGTGGGTAATTATCTCCCACTCAGGTTAGACTCCTGAAGTGAGCAGTCCAAGTTGTGAGGTTGGTCCTACTTTTTAAGGCTAGGCCATTATCCTATCTGCGTGGTTGCAGCTGAATCACTGGTAGTCCATGTTCCAGCCTGGGAGGAGAGAAAAACCCAATAACTCAAAGGCAAGCAATTTCTCTTTATTCAAGCAAGGAGAGCAAAGTTGAATTTACCATTTGCACTCATGTTCTGTTGACGAGAGTTGGGTCCCCTCTCTACACCTGGGTACAGGAAAGGCTGCGAAAAGTAGTTTTTAGCTGGGTGCTCACGTGTGAAAGAAAAAAGAACAGATTTGGGGAACACAGCAAGCAGTCTGCCGCATCCGAGGAAGTGGTTGAATTTGTCTCCAAAAAGAAGTGCAGAATTTACTGAGAATTTCTCCTGCATAGAATTATTTTAAATTAAATGAGTTTCTTACTGTTTTGCTTACTTTGAAAATAATGTTTAAAAAGAACCCCACAAAATAAACAGGCAGTATCCACATTTAGAGAAAAGATGTAAAGTTCTGAGCACTTACATTCCCCTTCTCTCCTCTGAATTTCTCTGCAGATACACACTCAATGACAGAAACCTTGGCCGGATTGTCACAATAGCAGAGCCATTCAACACTGAACTACAGCTCTGGCAGGTATGAAGATAAATTTCTCTATATTTGTCTAAAATGGAATGGAATTAAATTTTTTTTCCAAATAGATATATTATCTCAATTCAAATCACAGAAGACAATGAGAAACAAATAATTCTTTTTGGTTTTGTCTGTTTTTGAATTGTATATATCTAAGGCGTAAAACATGATGTTTTGATATGTTTATCTTGATAAGTATACATAGTGAAGCAAGAGATAATTCTTATGTCTATATAATGTCCACCTACTTTGTTTTCTAAACTGAAAAAAAAATTCAAATGACTCAGAAACAAAGTTTAAAACATGATGGGGTGAGGGCTTGGAAGGCTGAGGCAGCCACAGGAAACGGTCAGCTCACCGAGGCGGGGCAGAAGGTCCCTCTTTCCTGGTAAATGTACGTCTGGAGTAAATTGGTCAAAATTTGATTCCATTCACATTCATAGTTTTGGAGTTTCAAAACTAATCACAAATCTTTCAGGTTTCAAATATCTCAATTCCTGGGGGCGAGGAAATGTCTATTAATTTTGAACAAAAAGAGATCATATGAAGTTTTACTCTGCTTGTGTTAGATACTGGAATGCTAAGAATCTTCTGTATGTTAAAAAACCAAATTGGCCGGGCGCGGTGGCTCACGCCTGTAATCCTAGCACTCTGGGAGGCCGAGGCTGGAGGATCGCTCAAGGTCAGGAATTCAAGATCAGTATGACCAAGAGCGAGACCCCATCTCTACTAAAAATAGAAAGAAATTAATTGGCCAACTAAAAATATATAGAAAAAGTTAGCTGGGCATGGTGGCGCATGCCTGCAGTCACAGCTACTCGGGAGGCTGAGGCAGGAGGATCGCTTGAGCCTAGGAGTTTGAGGTTGCTGTGAGCTAGGCTGACACCACAGCACTCTAGCCTGGGCAACAGAGTGAGACTCTGTCTGAAAAAAAAAGAAAAAACCAAATAATTCTTAGTTTTGCACAGCAAATAATAGTATGGTTGCATTTCAGGAAGGGTTTTGGAAGTCAGAGGGAGGATAGAACCAAGTTTAACAGAGATTTTTTTTTTTAATGAGTACTTAATAAGTGAACTGAAAGTATATTAAAATACTCCAGATGCCCGGAGTGCATTCACTAAGCAAAAACCATCATTCCATGGGCCAGATTTTCTAGGGAATGCCTTGGGGAGTGTACAGAAAATAGAGAACCCAGAGAAACTGAACAGGCACGCCCGCCGCTGACACGCCCCTCCGCTCCCAACACACTGAGCGGACTGGGTTTGACGTGTCGTGGGGATCCAAATGCCATGGGTGGCGATTTCTTCTAAGAGATAGCACAGTCCAAACAATGCACCAACAGGCGTAACTCCATGTTGTGCAGTGAGACTGACTTTCTAGGTAAGAAGGAAACAAATCCAGGTTGTAAATGAAATTTTGGAAGAATAATTTGGCTTCAAATGACTTTCCTAATTATTGCCCTCTCTTTTGTAGATGGAGAGCTTTTTCGCAAAATATCCAGAAGCCGGAGCAGGAGAAACACCCAGGGAGCAAGTGTTGGAAACTGTGAAAAACAATATCGAGTGGCTAAAACAAAATAGAGATGCCATAAGAGAATGGTTTTTTGATTTACCTAAGAATGGCTAATGTGTTCAAATGTTATAGTTTCATTTTGTCAATCTGTTGTTTCTCCTATTAAGCATTTGGTGACCTAATTTGCAAGCGCTATGGAGGAGGCCTTATGAACAGACTTTGCTAAGCACTGTGTTGATAATGCCTTGGAAAGCTTTTAAACGGTTCCTTTTTGTTTATGAAGGAACATACTAATAGAGTATTTAATATACTCGGGGATTTCTTCTAAGTGTGCTTCATAGGAGATTCTTTACAAACTGAAGAGAATTTAATAGTCATTTTAATGTCTTTAAATATCATTCTTTGTATCTTAAATCTGTGAAAATAGAACAATTTCGTCTTAGCTTTACATTTTTAGTACCAAAGAAATACCACTTAATCTTCTCTCTTGATTGATTTTTAAACTTTAAATACCAGTACTTGAGAGACCAATATTACCATTTTAATCTTTATTTTATTATTCAGAATTACATAGACCTAATATCATTTTATTCACAAATGTCTTACGACTTCAAATCCTACCAGAGTAACCTGGGCTTAAGTTTTACTCAAGGATTGCATGAATTAGCCAAAGAAACGGCTGTTGCCTTTGCTCTTATAAAATCAACAAGAGAACTCTCCACTCCTTTTAAAAATAAATATAAATGATTACGTTGAAAAAAATATTGTTTTCCAGTGTCACTTTACTCTAGAATAAAAATGACTGCAGTGTTCCTCAAATAATTCAGCACATCACAATGGTGATTCAAGAATCTGGTCTTTTCATGCTTGCTAGTCTCTCATTCATCATTCCTTACAAAGCTCCTTCAAATGTGCTATGAAATTACAGGGAACAGAGTGCTTAACTCTGCTCCATAGATTTCAGAGGAAAAAAGCTAAATAATTGGAAACAGTTCAGGAAAGAAGGAAGGCAGATTATTCCATAAAACTAAATGGAATTAGAATTTAGCATTGAGTTCACCTAGCAATCACAGTGTGAAAATGGGGAAAACACAGACATCCCCAGCATGATTCTACATATCTGAGGATGTATCTTATAGATAAATTTTATGTATAAACCCCTTAGATCCTAATCCATATAGAAAAGCACTGATCAAATTTATATGCATGACTTGATTAACAACTTCAATTTCATAAAAGCTGATGACAAGAGTATGTTTAATACGGCATTTGATGCCTAATAGATCCACAATATAATTCCAACAGGCAGAAAAGATGGTAAATTATTATGTTTCAACCTGCTATATCTGGAAAATCTAAATTTATTTGGAACTTTCAGAAATATAAATTCATCTAGGATTGGCTTGATGAGAATAAAAGCATATGGGAACAATTGAAACCTTAGCTTAGACTTTATTTACGCAATTATGTGCTGAATCATGTACTCTGAAACTTTATATACTTTCCTATTGTTGTTTCTTAATTATCACTTCTCAACCCATACAGCTCAGTCAATAAATTCCAATGTTTGGGGAGAAAAAGATATAAAAGAAAAAATTGCTAGACAAAAATATGTAAAATATTATTTTAAATTATTTCTGAAACAAAAACATATTGACATAATAAATCATCCGGAAAAACCCCACTATCCTCACAGAGATTAACATCCTAACTTCAAATTCTGACCCAAATCAGAACTAGCACTTGAAGTCTATGTATTGTTTCAAGTGGACGCATAAGAAGTAAGTTGGTTTCTCCTTCTATTTTATGAAATAAATACATCTCTAAAGGAAAAGTATACGTTTGAGGGGATGGTAAATAAAACAGATTTTAACTTGCCTCTAAGACATTCTATTTCATTCCACTGTAAGCATTAAAACTGAAAACACGTGGCTTGGTTCCCCTCACTCTGTGTGTGAAAGAGCTGCGTGCACTTGGTCACGGCACGTTCACTGGACATTGAGTCCTTCTCAAACAGTGCCTGTTTACTATTGTGCTGGCTTGCTTTTGTCACAGTACTCACGGGACACAGAACATTTAATATCATGTTTCCAAAATTAAACCCCAGTAAATGTAAAGAATCAATATTAAAGTACGAAATATCTAATTTGAAGAATTAACTAGAAGATATGATAAACAGGGTCGTGTAGTAAGAGGTAGGGCCAGGGTGACCACCTCTCCTCTAGGCAGCCTACGCCTGTATTCCCGTTCATTGCTATGTACCCAAATAAATATAAACTAGGAGCTTAAATAATAAACCATAAATGCCAAACTGCCAGGCAAGGAAGGTTTGGGAAGCAGGGATGAGAAGTACAGCTGGGTAGAAGATGATGGTGTTCCTACAGTTTACTCTCCTGGTTGGTGACATATTAGTCCAAGAGTAGATAGATACAGAGGAGGGGCAAAATTTTAGAGCAATAATTCTCAAAGGGGATGGAGCGAGGAGGAGGGAGTAGAAGGGAGAGGATTAGAATTACTAGCGGAACTTTCTAAAACATGGCTAATCAATCATCACTTTTTTGCTAGGCACCATTCTAAACACCAGCACTCCACATACATTAATTTTTACATTTAATCTTTATAAAATCTCCACGAAGTAGATACTGTTATTATCCCTACTTTACAGATGGGCAGACTGAGATAGAGAAGCTGCAGCATGTGCCCAAGGCTATAAAAGTAGTATCTGGAACCCGTCAGGATTTGAACCTAGGCAGTTTATCACCATAAATAATCTGCATTTTAATGTATGTTTGAGTTAAAATATGGCTTTTGAAAATTGAAGCCACCTGGGTTTGAATATTGACTACTTGGTAGTTGAGTTACCTCAACCCCTCCCCTCTCCATTGCTATTTCCTTGTCTATAAAATGAAGATCAAAATATACCTGAATGGGCTATTGCAAGGATTAATTACAAAACTGCATGTAAGGCTGGGCATAGTGGCTGACACCTCTAATCCTAACACTCTGGGAGGTCGAGGCAGGAGGATAACTTGAGGTCAGGAGTCCCAGACCAGCCTGAGCAGGAGTGAGACCCCATCTCTACTAAAAATAGAAAAAACTAGCTGGGCATGGCAGTGCATCCCTGTAGTCCTGACTACCTGGGAGGATGAAGCAGGAGTCTGAGAGTTTGAGGTTACAGTGAGCTGTGATGATGCCATTGCACTATACCCGAGGTGACAGAGTGAGACCCTCATTCAAATTTTTTAAAAAAATGCATGTAAAGGATGCCTGTACAAGAAATAATAATCACTCAATAAATGTTAGCTGCTATCATTGTTACTATTATGTCTAACAGGCGCCACTAAAGGCACTAGTTTGAAGAATATAATAAACTTAAGTTCAGGAATAACCAAATGTAAGAAACTGAAGGCACTAAGTTTAGGTAATGTGTTATACTACGTCATTGTTCACAAACAGCCACTGACCTTCTCTGGGAGAGGGCTCTACTGTCGTACCCACTGAAATCTAGCATGCGTACGTGACTGGCTTTGGCCCATGAAATATGAGTGAAAGTGATGCATGTCAGTTTCAGGCGGCATTGTCAAGACTCAACGCTTGGTTTGCCGTGTTCTCTGTTTTTATTCTGCTACTAGCAACGTCCCAGGTAGGGGCTGTACTCTTAGCCCGAATTCCAGGGTGAAAACAACATGGAGCAGAATTTCGCCAGCACAGGACACATGCATCGTAAACAGGAAATACCCATTTGTTATTGTAAATCACTGAGACTTTGAGGTTGTCTGTTGCTGTGCCTAACCTCGCCTAACCTGCCTTATATAAACACCAAAGTAATACGCTACTTTACCATAGTCATTTATTTCTCATCATTCTCCTCTTCCTTCCTCTCTCTCAGGGGTCAGCAAACTTCTGCCTGCCTGTTTCTGTAAGGCCTAAAAGCTAAAAATAGTGTTATATTTTTAAATGGCTGAAAAAAATCAAAAGAAGAGTAATAGTTTATGATGTAAAAATCATATGAAATTCAAATGTCAGTGTCCTTAAATAAGTTTTATTGGAACACAGCCACATGCATTCACTAGGTGTTGACTACGGCTGCTTTCCTGCTCCAGCAGCAGTGCTGAGCTATCGCATAGAGATCTCATGGCCCACAAAGCCTAAAATATCACCACCTGGCCCTTTACAGAAAAAGATTTTTTTATTCCTTCCCTCCTTTTGCATTTAATTCCTTTCCCTTTTTTGTTTTTACTTCTTCTATTTTCTAACCCAGATCTCTCAACATCAACACTACTGACTTTTTGCTAAACTTCTTCCAGTGTGATGAATTAGAAAGAGGATGGGCTTTGGCATCAATCAGACCAGATCTGATCTCAGCTTCACCCTTGGTAGCTGCTGGATCCTGGATAAGTTACTTTTAGTAATAATTTCATTGATCCTATTTTCTCATTTTAAAAAGATGATGATATCAGCTTCATAAGACAATTAAGGATTAAATGAGAGAGTGGTACATAAAACACTGAGCACAGTAATTGGCATACAGCAAGAGCTCCATAAATATTAGAATCCATTCCCTTTGCAAGTTACAAAAGAGATGTGGAAGTCAGAAAAGGCAGGTCTTGTATATTAAGTAGAAGGCTGAATGTTTAAATCTCATGTTATAGATTAATACTTTGCCATCTGACACTTAAGGGATGGGTACCACTTGTCAGAAATTAAAATATTTTTTAATGCAATATGCCTTTGGTAAGAGATAATGCCTCTAGCAGCTATTGGAACTTTTCATAATACTTCACCTTATACTCATCCTATATTTGCTCATTTGAGATCTAATTATATCTTGCCTATTTGAAAAGTCCTTTCTGAATATTCCCATTTTATTAAAAAGGGAATGAGGAAGAAAACGACCATTTAATTTATTATAATGGTTAATAAGAAATGCGATACACACAATGCACTTTGGTCATCAATTGTGCCTTAATAAAAGATAGGTTTTCTTTCCAATTGCAAAAGGAAACTTTGTAACAGCAACCCAAACACCCCAGGCCTATAATGTGTGCTCAAATACAAAAGCCAAAAACAAGAGTGCCTTTATTTTCTATTTAGATACCAACAAAAATCAAACAGCCAGTATAAACCCAAAAAAATAAAATAAAAAAATAATAAGAAGAAAGAAAAGAAAAGAACAGTTAGTGGGAAAAAGATATTAAAATGTGAATAGCAAAGAAATGCAACTTTCAAAGTAATTCCCAGTGCCTCACTGGCTGAGGGAAAAAAGTTCTCTTCTTACTCCATTAGTCCCCACATGTTAAGAATTAAGAGCAGCCTCTAGTGGCAGATTAAGGATTTTACAAAGTAGTCTTGCAGAAACCAAAATGCCTTCTTTTACTACTTGTTCTGAGCAATCTTAGCCAAATCTGCTAACCACGTATGAATAATTTCACCAAACTTTGAGTGTCCTTAACTCTTATAGTTTATTAATTATTTTTTTTAGCAGTTTAGCCTAACTTTAATTGGCAAAAAGGGTTGCTTTGGCAATGTACAAAAAACAAACAACCCCCCCAAAACTGTTATAGTACAATAGTATATATATATTTTGAGACAGATTCTCAACTCTGTTGCCCAGGCTAGAGTGAGTGCCGTGGCATCAGCCTAGCTCACAGCAACCTCAAACTCCTGGGCTCAAGCGATCCTCCTGCCTCAGCCTCCCAAGTAGCTGGGATACAGCCATCCCACCGTGCCCAGCTAATTTTTTCTATATATATTAGTTGGCCAATTAATTTCTTTCTATTTATAGTAGAGAAGGGTCTTGCTCTTGCTCAGGCTGCTGTTGAACTCCTGAGCTCAAGCAATCCTCCCGCCTCGGCCTCCCAGAGTGCTAGGATTACAGGCGTGAGCCACCGCGCCCAGCCAAAAGATTATTTAATCTACTTTTATTATATCTTATTTATCATCTTTTTTAAAATATGTAGTTTTAAAAGCCACTCCTCATCCTTTGTAGGCAGAGACAGGTTATTAACCGAAGGCACGCAGCCTCAGGCTTCTCAAACCGGAAGGCGCGGGCTGGAGGGCGAGGAGGAGGCGGAAGCCCTGACTGGCCCAGACCGGATTTCCGCCTGGGCCTGGCGGAGGCGCCCAGGGGAGCCTGGCGCATGCGCCCTGCCTGCCAGCTTCTGCTCTTGGGTTGCCCAGCCAACCCAGGCGTGGGGAGAGGCTTGCGCCTTGCCTGGGCCTTCGTCACGTCTCCCTGGAAATACTGCTAATTGTTCCTTCACTTGGAAAAGGAGACTGAAAACACTTTTTTTTTTTTTAAACCTCGACAGGCCCCTTACTCCCATTGAGTTCCTCCTGAAATTACTTCAAGGGCGAATAAATCATAAAACAATATTACCTTCTTACATTTAATTAATATAATCATTTAATTTTTTAGAGTTTCTCTGCTTGTCTTACACAGATGCTTTCAAATAAATTAATCTAGATTATATTTTATTAACTTTATTTATTAAAAATTCCTACCTCCTCATAGGAGTGCTGAGATGATGAATTCATGTTTGCTAAGCATTTGGAAGGTGAAAATGACATAAAACTTGATGGAATTACTCTGTTATTATTGATACAGAAAAACAATAACTTGATGAGACTGGTAACTCAGGCCATCTGCTATGTTAATTGAAATTACACTGTAAAAAGGTTTTGCCTGTTCAGGCAAAGTGGTGGAATACAGAAATAATTACCCAGGTAATTCAAATTCTCCAGAAAATGGAATCCTTTGAAGGAAAAGTGAGTCTGCTAACTGATTTTGTTTTGTTTTGCTTTATTATTATTGTCACATTTAAATCAATCACTTGTATACATGTAATCACCTGGATAACTTTTCAATTTTAATTTATCT